CTTTGGTTTAATATCCACACAATGTTCTTTCTTTAAAATCAGTTGTTGAGACACTGAGGTATCTAGACTTTTTCATGCAATGTCAACGCTGTACTGATCTTTAAGCCATGCAGTGCTGGACAACAGAGACTTGGATACCTTGGCTCCCACTATGTGGGAGAATTATGGACTAACCTTTGCACACAAATGCTGTGTTTTAAATCTTTAAAAAAGAGTTTGGACACAATAGAAGATTTTCTAAGTAATTATTATGACAAAGAATGGATCAAGAGTGGGTGGCACGAGGCTGAAATGAGTTACTCGTAAGTAGCAAACAGAAGCCTCGAGGGAGAGAATGCTGCAAGATATGTGAATATGAACTAGTTCACTGGCTTTCTGTGCTTTCAAAATCAGAAATGGGGGTAGGGATTAATTTGTTCCTTAGCTTTAAATGTAGGATTAAATATAATTTAAGCTTATTCTATGAGTTAGGACTTTGAGATGCTAAGAAGGATTAATATTTATTCAGTGACAATTGTGCTCTAGGCAGAGAATTAGCTCTGTTACTCATATTACAAGTTGAACATCCCTAATTAAAAATCAAGAATCCTCCAAAATCCCAAACATCATGAGTGACAACATGATACTACAAGTAGAAAACTCCATGTCTTACTGTGTGATAGGTTGTAATCAAAGCCCATGTGCACTAAAACTGCTCTACGAAATTAATTTCATGCTATGTGTATAATATATAAAATTAATTTCATGTTTAGGCTTGGTTCATCACCAAGATATGTCATTACATATTATATAGATATTTCAAAATCTGAAATATTTCTGGTCCCAAGCACTTTAGATGAAGGATACTCAGCCTGAATTTGATTTAATCATGATCAAAACCTTTCGATAAAAGCATTATTTGACCCATTTTATAGGCTGGAGACTGACAATTAGGTATGTATTTGTGATAGACAATGTTGAGACTTCAAAAACTAGCAACTCTGATTACAATGACATTATAAGTAGGCGAGCAATCTATGAAGCAGGTATGCTGCAAACATATACCATCACACACATGCTGCTTACTCATGAAATAGTCATAGGGAGAACAGAATTGTGTGGAAATATTGTAAGGTACTGAGTGTGAGGCAGCAATATTTAGTTAATAAATAAGAAAATAGGGAGCAGAGTTATTAGTGTGCCCCAAGCATGAAGGAACTGGGACTTGGCCGTGTACAACTAGGAAGGGAAATGGGGAGGTGGCTGAGGGGAAGTGGCAGCCAGGGCAAATGCTTCTCTCCTGTCACAGACAGGGAGCAAGGAGGCAAGTGCAGGATTTGGTGACTAAGGGACAATGGGAAGTGGTCAATCACTGCTCCAAAGCTTCACACGGAGGAGAGCGATCATAGAAAAAGATACACTGTATGGAGAAAGAGGTAAGGTTGAGTTTCAGATTCAAATAAAATATTCAAGTGGAAAGTGTGTAAAAAATTTAGAAAAGTGGTGAGCCACCTTATGAGAGGATGGATTTGTGGCATATCCCAGCAAGAAAACAAATAAAAAGGGCACAGCACTAAGAAGGAGAGGTGAGCAACAGTAGAGGAGAAAAACCCTAGAGGAATAAGGGCCATTTATGATCCCAGGGCAGTTTCAGATGACAGCTTAAACACAAAATAGCATCAAGAGAGTAGGGCGCAGGAAAGCAAAAGCAATGAGAGACCTTCAACTTATTTGTCTAAAAAGTTCACCCGAGAAATCTAAGAAATAGTTTACTGACACATATTTATATGGCAAATACATAAAAAGCACAGTCTGCTTGACAGATTTTCAGTGGTCTCTTTTAACATCCCAACATCTATTTTTCCACTGTTATTTCTTCCAACATTTTAGTGCCTCTATATTTTATTCCAAATGACTCTTTTAAAAAATAAATAAAACTTTGTTTTATTTTTAATTTTTAAAATTTAAAAATCTTTTTATTATACTCTTCTCATTTAAAAATCTTCATATTATACTCACCTTTAAACTTCCTACATTGTCTATGTGGAACCAGGCCACCACTGTAAACATTCTTGGATATTTTTTTCCCTTCTCTCTGTTAATATAGAAATGATCCAAGCCCCCGGGAGAGCCAAATCACGTTTCAACTGCTGCCTTCTCCCTCAATTTAGTTTCATCAGATCACTTTGTAATTTAGTGCTAAGTTTTTAGTTGTAAAGTATTTTCCTCTTTTTTAGAAGTATAGATTTACATCTACCTTTTCTGAGAAGTTTCGGGTACCCACTTTCCTAAAATCTCTAATTATGTCCACTGGGTTTTCAGCCGTAGGACCAGTCACTTTCTCATACGGTTCTTGTCACTTCCATGTCACCTACTAAGCATCCTTTATTGGAAACAATTACGTCCAGAATAGGAATGTCCTTTTCACTTTCCCCACATTTTAAGATACAAAACTGTCAGCAAATCCAAATCTGGTATTTATTAGATTCTCCATGTTAAACGGAACAAAGCTCCCAGCAGATTTTGAGATAGCATCCCTTATTACTGTTATGTCTCGCCTCAGTACAATACAAATCAAGAAACTATCATCAGAGTTTAATATTCAACTTCGGATTTTGTAAGAGCCTTTGCTTTGTGAATGACAAGGCAGAGAGAGGGTGGCAAACTGCTATTGCTATTATGAATAATAGCAAAAAAAGAGTAGTGTTTACTCATGTGAAGAAAATCCATGTACATCACAGAGACCAACAACAAAAAAATAATAAATATTCTAGGAAAATCATAAAATGCTGTTGTACTATATTCAGAATACGATGTGATTCAATAATAAAATTTCTGGCTCAAATTTTCCAGTACATATTTACAGTATACAAAGTACAACATTACTTCGTTATTCTATAGTTATTGAACTGTCTCTTGATGGTAACACTCACATAATTCAAAACTAGCTGTGGAACAATTTGTCTTTGAAATTTTCTCCCTTTATCCTACACCTCAAGAATTTAAGAGTTTGCTTCAATCTTTTGTTTCTTACAAAGTTGTATTTTTAGCTCACCAGACTTTATGGCGCTCTATCTACCTGTAATTATGCTGCAGAAGCATAAGAAGACGCCAAGCAAAGGCCAGCAGCAGACAAGATAGCAGGAGGCCTATTAGTGGTCTTAAACAGCTGCAATGAGGCAGGACGTGCCGGCGGGGTTCCTGCTGCCTCTGGCCTGGCATGACAAACCCCAAGAGCTGGACTTGCTTTCAGACTAGATCCTAATGCAGGGCATTATTGCACTACCATGAAAGCCAAGGGTTGAAGTTAAAATTCAAGAGGGCTTGTTCAAAAGGGAGAAATGGGAAAGGCAGAGAGAAAGGCAGAGGGTTGAGAGTGGTGGCCTCTTAGAAAGCTTTGCAGATCTTACAGAGCCACCACCTACCGCCCTACCCTTCCTCTCTCACAATAAAGCAAAACAACCCCCACACCTCCTTATGGAAAGGCAAAAGTAACTTTTAGTTCCAGTTTAGAAATACTGTACAAGTTCATTTTAAAAGATTTTTTTTTAAAGTAATGAATCTAGACTTTACTCAGGACAAGAAACATACAATGCTTCAAAGATGTTTTAGAATGAGAATATTCTGTAAGGAACAGAAGACATTCTTTAGTAGGAATCATCTCCCATAGTTACAGGGATCCTTACTGTCTACAAATATGTAATGTTATAGCTTGTATCCAGCTTTGTATCCCCAAAGTCTCATACGGTCATAAGTGGGGCTTCTTCAGGGGTAACTCAATGTACAGTGTGTGACTGATTCACATACAATGCTAGGTCTAAGGGTGCTGGGATTAACAGTGGATGATGCTGCATCAGTCCAGTGACTGGATGGCACTGCCTATCCAACAGACTGGATACAATATGCGGGACAGAAAGAAGTTTGTCTTATCCTGCGTTGCTTTGCTACCTTCTACCTGCCATAAACTGTTTCTCTTCTGCAATGCTACCCTGCCTTGGGGCCAGCTGATTATGGACTGAAATCTCTAAAAATTGAGCTAAATAAATCTTTTCTCCCTTAACATTGGCTGTCAGGTATTTTGTCTCAGTAATAACAAAAGTAACTAAGACATACAAAAAAAGTGTTGTTATATGTGTAGGTGTTTATTACTCACAATAGGATCTGACATTGTTAGCCATATACAACGCATTATATATAGTGCTTTTGGCTTATTTTAGATATTTTTTTGATGCAACTGAGTTAATATAACTGCAGTAAAGTAGCACATTTATATTCTATTCATCAACAACATTAGCATACAATGCAAATTTATTCTGAACTTTATGTATATGTACATTTTTCTTCATAAGCTTCAGGAAATGGCAGTTTTTATTTTCAAGGGGATGAGGGTGAACCAGCCAGACCATAAACTATGGGTGCTCAAACTACAGGTGCTCATAAAGATGGACTGATACCGGTCCAGCAGGAATTAAGAGCTTTCTACATCTTATAATGAGGTTAGATGGTTAGCTACCTTTCTGACAAATAATGAGACCCATACCTTCTGTAACAGGACAGACTGGCCCCTAGAGACATGTCCATGATAAATGAGCACTCCTAAAAAGAAGTTATCCATACATTTTTCTTTTATTTTCTTTTTGTCTTTTTCCTTTTTATCGGTACCGGGGATCGAACTCACGACTGCCTGCTTACAAGGCAGGCACTTATGCTGCTGAGCTAAATCCTCAGCCCTATCCATATATTTTTAAAAAATTATATTTTACCTCTCATATGCCAATGAAGTTAAATTCTACTGATGAAATGCTCCAATTTATAATGCTTAATATCACATAGGCATTCTGATAATGTTGATGCTAACTAGACAAGGATCCATTGACTTAAAACTTGGAAACTCATTTACTTGTGATACTGGAGATCCATAAATTTGTCTTATAAACTTCTCCTATGACATAACTTATGCAAATATAGTATGATCAGGAAAATATTTAGCAGCTAAAACTACACCAGTTAACTATACTCACGGTTGACAGAGCTTCACCAGGTCCTGGTCAGTGGTGTTTGGGGGCAGGCCTCGGATGTAGAGGTTTGTTTTGCTTAGCTGATCCCATCCTGAGTTACTACTGCTGCTACTGTTGTTATTACTGCTGGTGGTGCTGGGACTAGGAGGGGCCATGGGGTGCGCTGGGACCAGAGACTGCTGCAAAGCAAAGACCAGGAATGTCAGGTCACTAGAAGGAAGGGATCAACACCATTCAGAGGCTATATGAGTTCTAAGATAAAAAGAAGTTACATAGGTCTAAATTCTGATTATCTTCAGCTACTTTTATGAGTAAATTTTAATTTATACCTTCCACACAAACTACTCTCTCTAAAATTAAAAAACATCCTTGCCCTGTAACATGAAATAATAGAATTTTATTCAGTTGAAAAGTCTTTTTATGTACCAGGCATGGTGGTACCTGACTGTCATCCTGGTACTCTGGGAAGCTAAAGCAAGAGGATGGTATATTAGAGCCCACCCTGGGTCACTTAGTGACTTCGCAAGACTCTGTTCAAAATAAAAAATGAAAAAGGGCCAGGGATATAACTCAGTAGGAAGACCTGAGTTCAATTCCCAGCACTGCCCAAATAAATGACAAAAAACTCTTGTATCTTAAATGTGACTTAGTTTGTGTAAAATTAACCTTTCACACATTTTTAAGGAACAAATCTCTAAGATTCAAAATGAATTTGCATAGAGTCACCCGATAATATTTTAATATATAGTAATTTAGAAATCACTAGATGTGAAAAGGCTTTCAAATACTGAAGAATGGAAAGCTGTTAATCATTTCATGATTTTAAAAAGATGACTTTTTAAAAATACTCTTCAAGTATCACAAGTTAGTTTACTTCATCAAATAAGGAAGACTTTACCTAGTACTACAGGCGCATGGCTTCACTGAGACCTCTAGGTATAGGTAAGATTCACAGGCACACAGCCTTTCTCTTTAGCAAATCTTGTGAAATTTAACCCGTGTGAGAATGGTGTAGTAGCTGGAAATCTTCCCAGGCTATGCAACAACCACCTCAACTAAAGCCTGCAACCAAGGGTTTGGTGTGGTTTTACCAAGCGGAGCCACCTAGGAAGAATGACTGAGGTTGGACTCACACCAGATAATTCTCTGTGAACCAATAGAAGGAAACCACAGTTCTCTGATCCGATGCCACACACATGACTTTTGAGGAAGTTAAATAAGTGGCTTAGTTTGAGATGGGAGTGAGCACAATCTGAGATGGCCTCACAGCAAAAACTTGGTAATTTAATACCAGGAGAGGAATTTTTTCACTTCATATCTTTGGAATAGTAAATGGTCTAACCCAAGGATGCCATCTCTATTAACCGTTTGAATATATAAAATGTAGTTACTAGACATTCAACAGTAATTTCATTCCTTTTTCTTTCTTTTTTTTTTTTTTTTTTTTTTGGTACTAGGGATCAAACTCACGACCTTGTGCTTGCCAGGCAGGTGCTTATGCCGCTGAGCTAAATCCCTGGCCCAGTAATTTCATTTCTTACAACTTGACTTTTACTACTTCAGACAAGACAATAAGGCAAGGCTGGGGGTATAGCTCATTGGTAAAGCCTTTGCTTAATATGTGCAAGGTCCTGAGTTTGATCCATAGCACCTCACAAACAAAACCAAAATCTTTGATACCAGGGATAGGACTTGGAGAAGTCTGAAAGAGCTGTGGATCAGGCCCATTCCTACTTCCTAGTGATACTGCACTGACATTAGACAAATGCACAATTAGATATCTGAAGAGTACCTTCCAGGTCTGCATCCACTCTAACCTTTGCTTTGTCTCAGGAGGAAAGGAGAGTGCAGGGAGTTGGCTTGTATTATTAAAAGAACATTGTGGATATGACTTATGGAGAGTTGCACATAAAAGCAGTAGATTTAATGTATTTATTTTTGATAGAAAAAATATACTCATAGTTTATGTTTCTGAATACACACAGCTGATTTAATATATGTTTGATCAATGTCCCTATATATCAGAGTAGTATCTCTTCCCTGTGAAGAGAAGTTCCACAGCTGTGCCTACCTGCTTCCTGCTGGCGGGGGGGGGGGGCCTACAGGGAAATGAAATCTCTCAGAGTTTTGGTCTCAGGAAGGAGAATGGGGTTATTGGACATACCAAGGAACAGCCTCGCCTTTCTGGTGAATCCTATGTATAATGAAGTATAAATTTAAATTTTATCCAAATATCAATCCTGTCTCAGAGCTAGCTGAAGACAATGATACCTAGGAGACAGGTACACTGAAATGTTATAGATTGTCAAGTTTTGATTGTTTAGTGTACATAAATTTCCATTGAAGACTAACTTTTAGAACTCCTTGAACCTAAAAATATAAGAGCTAAGAAACTTCAGATATAATAAAGATGTTTATTCCTAAATAGTCAAAATAGAGTGAATAACAGTTTTAATAGTATAAATAATAATCATGTTACTGCCTATTTACTATATGCCACAGTATGCTATATATATATATATATATATATATATATATATATATATATATATTTTGCCTTACTAAACCCAGTGAGACAGGCACAGTATTGTTCTCCCATTTTTGGATTAGGAAACTGAGTTTCAGGAAAGACAGAGTAATTACCAAGGTCACATATTAATTAGGTGGCAGGGCTGGAATTTGAATGTACATCTGCTAGATAACAATGCCAGAGCCTTCAAATAGCAGCCTAAATGACACTTCAAAATACTTTCTCTATCCTAAATGCTCCATTTGGCTTTTTTTGTATTTTCTGTTCCCATCTTTCTTGCCAAAACAGTAACAAAAATTGCCTCTTTGTTAAATTAATAAGCACATAGTCAACCAGTGCTTTAAAAAACAAAATGATGTGGGGTGTGATAGCCACACCTGTAATCTCAACACTGAGAGGTTAGGAGGATCAAAATTCAGATCCAAGCCTAGGCAATTTAATGACTTAGAGAGACACTGTGTCAAAATTAAAAATACAGAAAGTTGTATATGGCAGAGGGTACCTCAGTAATCCTCAGTACTGCAAAACCAAACCAGGTTTAGTTTTTAAAAAGAAAAAAAATATTTCTTAAATTATTCTTTATAAATCTTTCCATTAAAGAATTGATCCTGAGGGGGTCAGAGGTGTAGCGCAATGGTACAGCAGAAACTTAGATGTGGTAACATCATGCGCACGCGCGCGCACACACACACACACACACACACACACACACACACAAAGAATAAATAAACTAGTTTTGACAGACAATATGGAAGACAGTATTGAGTTTCATCATAAAATTAAAAATAGAACTACCATATGACCCAGTTATCCACAACTCGTGGATATATCCAAAGGAAATATAAGAAGTATGTTAAAGTGATACCCACAAGCTCATCTTCATCACAGCACTAGGAACAATAACCAAGAAATAGAAACAACCAGAGTATCCATCAACACTGACTAGAGGGAAAAAATGTGCTTTACACAATGGAAAGTGACTCAGTCACAGAAAGGGTGAAACCCTGTCATTTGGGACAAGGATGGAACCAGAGATCTTCACGTTAAGTGAAATAAGCCAGAAAAAGAAAGAGAAGTACCATGTGACCTCACCCATACGTGAAACTAAAAAAGTCAGTCTCCCAGAAGTTGAGAGTACAGGGATGGTTGCTAGGGTTCATCAAAGGGCACCAAGTCATAGAGAGTCTGGTGTGCTACTGCAGAGCTGCAGAGCTACAGATAACAGTAATGAACTGTGAAGTTCAAAAAGCTAGAAAAAAGGATTTTTGAAAGTTTTCCATATACAGAAAAGAGAAATGGTTGAAGAGATAAACACATTTAGCCTGATTTAAACATTACAGAATGTACACATGTATTGAAACATCCCATTACTAATATGAATAATTTTTAGGGTTTTAGCTTATTAGTTAAGAACAATGGAATTGACAAGTAATTCATATAATTGAGAAAAGAAATAATAAAGAATAAATTCTATACATAATTCTTGAAAGTTACAGCATATTACAACCAAACATTAGCATTAGTGGGAACTTAAAACAGTGAAGAATTAAACCCTCCTAGATTGAAATGCAAATATTGACAAGTCTTTAACTGCAATCTGAGAACTTGATAAATTTAAAGCAATTATACTTTGTGCTTTGTGCCTGGAAAGCACAAATGGCAAACAAAAGAAAGAGAAAAAAGAAAAAAAAAAAAAAAAAGGAAAAAAGAAGGGAGGGATGGAAGTACTACCTATAAAGAATGATTTATACCAAACTCCATTTTCATCACTGGTTGACCTTTTTAAAAACTGCTCTCAAAACCCCTAAGCTGCTTTGGAATTTGAAAAGACTTCCTATGGATAAAGCTTGCAGCTAGTTTAAACACATTCATTCTAATTAGGGAAACCAGTGGCTAGATGACCATAGTCAAGTGTCCATTCATGCTTACAAAAAGCTTAGGGGTCTATCTTGGCCTTCTCCAGCCTACTTTAATCTGGTTGAGGTAAAGCAGCCAGGCTACACGTACAAAGAAAAGAAGTTAATTCAGTTTTTTTGATAATGTCTATCTGGGGTAATCCACATGCCAAACTTGAAAGAAAACAGTCAGTGGTGAATAAATGGGGTGACTACAGTCGGTGGTGAATAAATGGGGTGACCGCCTGAGCAGACCTCTTGCAGTCCCTGCATGAGTGTGTGACGCCAGGAAGAACAGAGCTCATTAACATTCACGAGGATTTCCTTTGTGGGCAGCCCTCACTGAGCTTTTCCTATATGGACAACAGTCAGGGAGGGAGTGGACAGCACTGGTATCTCCACCTTGCCAGGAAGCTCAACTAGGACTCCCATACTAAAAACAGTATCAACAGGCACACAGGGCAATTCTGTTTCCCTGTCCACCACATACCCCCCACCCAACATCACACTTAACTTTCTTCTACATAAATGCAAGCTTAAAAATCCTTTGCAGAAGAAGCAAAATTAGCCATAAATAAAACAACTGTTGATTTTTATTCAACGAAGGCAATTTAAGTATGGAAACTTGTTATTTTAAATCCTATTGTGTCATTCCTTCCAGTTATTGGTAAAATAAAGAACTGCACTGTGATCAATCTTATAACTGAAACGATCCTTCTTTTCCCAGTACCTGGCAACTTCCTGAAGAATTCTA